CGGGGTGTGGGCGCCCCCGGCCCGGCGCGCTTTCGTTTTCGTCCAGGACAAAGGTCCCTCGCGGCGCTGGTCGCGGACGCGGAGACCCCCGTCCTGCGGGCCACTCTTCGTCGAGGTCCGGTGGTTCAGTACAGAGAAGCCGGAGCCGGGAGAAGAGGAGCGGCGCGGTCCGCGGCGCGATGCGGGACCGGGGAAGCGGGCCCTGGCTGTGCACTTCGCCGGGCGCCGTCCCGCAGCCGACCGGCCCTGCGAAGAGTCGCGGGAGAAGCCACCGCTCTGCTCCCGCCGATTCGGCGCATGAGGGAGGGAGGCGTTTGGAGTCCGGGACTCGGGGCCTGTGCGGCGGTGGGCACGATAGCGCAGCGCTCGCTGCGCTCGGGCGCGTTCCTCCGGCAAGGGCACGGCCATCGACCTGTGCGCCACGGTCACCGTGGGGTTCGAGGCGACTCCTGAGGGCGGTAAGTGCATTTCTCACTTTCGGTACTTAGTATTTAAATATTAATGAAGAGATTTCTAAGAAGAGCCCTTCTGTAGGACAGGCCTTCCACAGACGAGGGGCACGCGAAGGAGGTTGCTCTTGAACCCGAAGCCGCGCCAGCTTGCAAGAACTCCACGGCCGTCTTTTAACATTCCGCAACTTGGAATTTGTGAAATACAGCTTCTAATCTCAGGTGTGCGGGCTGTTTGCCGGAGATAATTTTGCTGCACACATAAAATAGCGTTGGCAGGCATCTCAAACAGAATAGAAGGAAAAGAGAAAACATGTCTTTTCAGGGTAGATGTGTTTAGAAGGAGTATTTGGGAGCTACAATTCTTCCTTGAAAAATTGAAATCTTTCATCCTCTTCCTAAACCAGCACTGCTTATTTTTTCCGTTGGTCCGGCATTTATGGAGAGTCGATTTGGGGGCGGGGGGCGGGGGGCGGCTCGTCAAGCATCGGCAGCGATGGGGCTGGTTGAGTGCGAGGCCCTTGTGTGGAAGCTGTTGTTTATGGTGGCATAAAACGAAAAACAACTCATAACTTTGCATAATAAACCCCCCTTTATAGGTGGCTCACACACAGGCCTGGCCACGGCCCCTGGGCAGTTTGTGGGGAGCAAGAGAAGGGGTGAAGGAATGCGCATTTGCCGTTAATTACAGGGTTTTAGGGGAACGCTGAAATTAACATCTTCAAAGTTGGGTTTCAGAAGCCGAAGCAGCCTCTGCAGGCCAGCACTGTTTTCATTTTATTTTAATCCATTGGTTCTAGCTATTTGGGGTTTTAAAATGCATGTTTGTACTTGCGTGTACCTATTCTGTTAAAATGAAACCCATACCTGTGGGGGATTAAGCCCGCTTTTTAATATGATCACAGCACAGGTGCGATTTCTCCTCCAGCCTCCTCATCGTGTGATGTGGTTTTGATAACCTCGATGGGTGCTTGGGCCACAGTATACTGGTGGGGGGGGAGCTGTTTCCGTGACACCCCAGAGTTGTGAGCTGGCGCTTGGAGGCCATGTTATCGGGAACGTGGACAGAGGCCTGAGCAGCCCAGGCCTGCCTCTCGTCTCCCTGTCCCTGGGCTGCCTGGTGCTGCCTGGTTCCCAGAGCCCAGAGGCAAGAGAAGGTTTCAGTAAGGTCTGGCCGCGAGGCTGAAAGTTTGCTTCGGTCTCGCGGGCTAACCTGGCCCGCCGTTTCACCAGCCCGTTCACCCTCCCGTACCCCCCGCATTTTGAATTTTTATTTATGACTTTATCAGAGGCAATTAGCAGACGTGAAACCTGGGGTGGGAGGCTCGGGAGTGATCTCAGAAACGGGGGCACAGCTGCCGAAGGCGGTGCCGCTCCAGCCGGGAGCTGTGTTTGGCGTGGCGTTGGCGACGACGAGGTTAGTAATTATGAGAAGCTCAAGTTCCATCGGGGCCTCACCTGCAAAACGTGGGAGACGTTTCCCAGGTCCACAGAGGCCCTGTAACGTATCGTGACATGTGTGGGAATGATGTGGCATTCTGCCCAGGTTCTTGGGCATCCCCCAGGATCAAAACAGACCCCAAAACAAGGATACCCATAGCTCCTTCACGGGCCTGTAGGCCAGACAAGGGGAGCAGGGAAAGGCCTGAGCATCCGAGGATGCACCCCCAGGGCCACGTAGCAGGGAGTTGCTGTTTGTCAAAGCTCCAGAGGTCCATCTCCTGTCCCTAAGTGTCCCCCTGGAACACAGAAGGTGACGGGGTTGGGAGCCTCCAGCAAACATTCGGGCCGCCCCACGGACCGAGGCCCTGCCTCATCACCAATGCCGCCCTGTCCTGCCTTTGTCCTTGTCCTTTAGAGCCAGCCCAGTTCCAGTGGAGACTCAGGTCCTACCGGGGCTTCTTGCCGTGTTGGGATATCCCAGGCAGGCACAATTTATTTTTGATGACATGCACACAAAAGACGAGGTTCTGGAAATGAAACTGGTGCCTGTCTTTTTTTTTAAATCACTTCTGGATTTAATAGAAAGACCGTACCAGGCAGGGGGCAGGATCTCACGGGCCGTGGTGGCCCGGTGGGAAGGTGGCCCTGGAATTCTTGTTTTTGTTTTAAACGAGGGCGGCCCCTTGCCTGCACTGGGGCCTCGCCGTGCCCAGCCTCCGGCCGCCGGAGGCCCTGGATCCTGGCTGCGGGGCCTCTGGTGGGGGCCGGCCGCTCACTTGGGCAGCATGCGGTGATGAGGCCTCCACCGTGGCCAGGTCTCAAACACACCTCGTGGACAGGTGCAGACAGCATTTGTTTCGCTCAGAGAGAACAGTGGGGAGCTTTGCAGCGGGGTTACTTTTGGGTCTGTGTGGTTTACATGTGACCGGGGCTGACTCTGAACCCATCCTCGGAAGGGTACTGGGGCCTGTTCCGTCCTGGCCTGGACCAGGCCTGCCTCAGAGGGAGAGGCCAGGGCGGGTGCTCCCCAGTGTCCAGATACTGACATGCACTGAGGGACAGTGTTTGGGAAGGGAGGGAGGCCCTTCAAGCCCAGGCCGGAAAACATCTGGAAACCACCATGCTTAGTTGTTACTGGGCTTGACGGGTGTGTTTTCACGTTTGGGGAGAAGAGAGGATACTCTTGCAGAAATCCCATGAAATGGGGGTGTCCTAGCTCACATCCGGGCAGCTGCAGTCTGGCCCCTGCCCCCAGTTCGTCGCGGGACCTGGATAAGTCACTTCACCCCCCCCGGGCCTGTGCCCTGAGGTTTAGAGCAGGAATAATGGTATCGACCTCGGGGTTGTTTGGAGGGTTCAGATGATATTATTTCCACAAAACGTAGTTCCCGGCACGTGGCAGGGACGCTGTAAATGGCTGCTGCCGTTTAATTGTCATTGTTGTAAATGGTAATCTCCATTTTTATTGCTGGTTGTTATTATATTTTTGAGTTTCTAAGAAACAGAGTCCAGTTTTGGTTTCACTAGAAAGGGCACCTCGAAGTACGCTCCCCTGCCCCACAGGTGGTGGCAAAGGGAGCTTTGGTGATATTTTCAAGGCAGGCCGTGAGCATGCAAAGCTCGGGCTTTCCTTGTCACTGAGACTTGGCCTGCGTGCAGTATATGGGACCAAGTTCTCTTGGGGTCCTGGATCATGCTCACGAGGAGGTGCCCCTTCCTTTGAGGAGCTAACCTGGCCCCAGGGCCTGACATGTATGCCCCCCCCCCACCTTTTTGGGGTCCAGGGAAAGAATGAGGGCAGGACATCCTGACTTGGGGGTCGAGAGTGGCTGGCCACCCCAGCTACCAGCGTCCTTGGACGAGTTCATTGTCCTTTGCCCTGATCTGGGCGAACGCTTCTCGGGGTATTTGCTCTGGGAGGATTTTCCCTCTCAGCTGGTCGTACGGGAGGACCCAGCAAGGTTGCACTTCATCAGAACCTCTTGCTGGAACAAGAGAGAACCCTAAAAGACATCAGCTCGAAGGAGGAAGAAAAAACAACAATTGTCTCCATGCGAAGACAATGGACCTTTTATACGAAATATTTATTTTGGGGGCCGACCCGTGTCCCGTCGGCTGGGACGGCGGAGCTGGAGTGTCTGGGTATCGCAGGCCCTAACTCAGTCAGAGACGGAGATTTATAGAAAAGGAAGAAAGAAGGTCCCCTGACTTGGTCCTTGGAACGCTTCAGTGGGAATGTCTGGCTTTCTTTGTTGAGTGGAGTTGAAACTTTCTCAAGTTTATTTTGTTTTCTTCTGTGGTTTCTTTTTTTCTGAAAGGTTGCAAGGGCACGTTCACAAGCACCAGGAAGGTAGCCGGGTTTCGGATCGTGGGCCGGATGGGGGGGCCTCCACCACCACCTCCGCGCCCCCGCACCGCCAGGCCTGGTTGGCTTTTGTCAGCTGGGGGTTCGCAGAATGAAAGTGAGAAAAACGGGCTGGAAGAGGAAGGGTTCGTTCTCAAGGGGTTGGGGGGAGGCCGTCGAGAGCGATTTTGGACATTTGTGATTCTCTGGTATCCCAGATCCCTTCTCTGGTGAACTTGCGAGCAGCCTGCGGGTCACTGGAGAGTCTGGCCCGCGTGGGTGGAGTCAGCACAGGCCCTCAGACACCCTGCCTGCCGCAGAGGCTGTGTTTGTAACCCCCGACAGGCCTGGCCCAGAGTTAGCACTGGGTGGAAGTTTTTTAATAGAATGAACAGAATTTCCCTCCTAGGCCTACCGACGAGCCACCTCCTCTTCCTTGCTCGGCTGCTGGGGATGGTGCTGGAGCAGCTCAGTCCTGTTCCCGCTAAACCCACAGCGTCGACGCAGCCAGGAAGGCACCCTGGGAGAGGAGGCTGGGCCCCGGCTCATGTTAGGGACTTCGGCAGGGTCTGACCGAATGGGGCTTGTAATGAGAGCATGGGGTGGGGGGTGGTCAGCTCTTCCTAGACTCGTGGGGTGGGGGGACATTGGGAAGGCTGCTGTGGACAGTTGGCCCTGGACCCATGCCAGCGGATGCCCCTTTGAGGCAGGTGGAAGACAGAAAAGGGAGTAGCCCCCGTGGGTGGGGGACGAGAGTCCCCTCCCTGCCAAGCTTCCCTTTTACCCAAAAGACTTTGTTGGCAAAATGATAATATTTAGGTTCAAAAATGAGGTTTGTTTTTTGTTGTAATTGCTATTGCTTTTTTTTTTTTTAAATCCTGGAATCTCTAAGCTGTGAGCTGCTTCACCTTCTGCATTGACCTGTGTCTCCCCCGCCCCCCGGGCCCCAGTACTGTGAAGAAAGCTCTCTTTTGGGAATGGCCAAAACGGCTTCTGAGGCCAGGGGTAGAACTGGTGAAACCGAGATGGGAAAGACTGGAATCTCATGACACGGGCTAGAAAAACCCTAAAACGCAAGCTTTTCTCCGCTTGTTTTCGGCGGGTGGGGGAGTTCAAAAGTGAAATGCTATGCATACCATACGGTCGTCTCGTGAAATTTTGGACGGGAGACTTGCCTTTCAGCGAAGCGCGGAGGCCCGCGTGGACGGACGGTGGCCCGCTGTTTATCAGGGGCCGAGAGGCTTTCTGGGCAGGGATGGGACTCGCAGAAGCAATGGTTAATGTCGTCAAATGAGCCTGGCGGTCGGGGTCAGAAAATGCGTGCACGGGAGGCACACAGTAAAAAGGGCCTTTTTTTTTTTTTTTTTTTTTAAGGAGTAATAGCTTTCCCCTTGCGATTGAAAAAGAAACGTTGTTTCTGATGCCTTCGGCGTTCAGGGCCGGGGTTCTCTGCGAGCCACCCTTCTTTAATTCTGGGATTTCAGATGGCAGGAAGAGCATGCCGCCGAAATATTTATCTGCTGATTTGGGGCTCTTAAATCTAGATTCGCCTTTCGTGTGTTAAAGAACGATATTTACATTCAAATCAGCCTTTTATAATTACATTTTAAATTATAATAAAATGATGGTGCCCGGGCTGCAGCATTCTTGTGCTTTAACCGGAAGAGGCTGCGGTGAATTGCGTGTGCGTTGCACATCACGTCACGCAGACCTGCCTGGGCTCCTTGCTGGCTCCAGACGTGCGGGTTCTCCAGACACGTGTGTCCTGGGCACGTCAGGGTCCCTGCATGTCACCTGTGGAGCCCTCCCCGTTCTGCCAGGAAGAGCAGGGCTCGTCAATGGGGATCCTGGCCCCAGCCCCTTGGCGACGCTGCCAAAGCTCTCTGAGAAGGACTTGATTCGGGCCTGGCTGCTGTGCCGTGTCCTGATCTCACGCTGGCCTGCAGGCCTTGAAGCGGAGGCCATTACCTCGTGGGCAGCCAGATGGGCACAGCAGCGGCCACTTCAGGCTGTGATGATGTGTATGTATCAGGGTCGGGGGGACCCACCTCCTCCTGCAGCTGGAACCCAGCCTCTGCCTCCTCTTCCATCAGGGCTGGCCTCAAAATGGCCACCTGGTTTTCAGTGGCTTCCCCTGTGAAGCACGGAGGACCCTCTGCTCCCGGGTCCAGGCTGTTGGCAGCTGGGCCAGGCCGTTGCTGGTCGGGCCCGTGGCATCGGAATCCTACCTGCTTTGTCTCTGGCATCAGCTGGTGAGCTGGTCACGTGGCCGTGTGTGCGGGACCAGAGTGGGGACCCGAGGGCTCCCCCTGGGCACGTCCTCCTTACTCACTCCCCCCACTTTCGCTTCGGGCATGCTGGGCCCTGAGCGAGCGTGAAGCAGTATTAAAACGTCCTCCTGGCAGCCAGGCAGCGCCCGTCCCCGGATGTCGAGGTGTCCAGGCCGCCCCCACCTCCACCCAGTCCTCGCCCACAGGAAGGCCCATGAGCCAGGGAGGCAGGCCCAGCCACGGTCACTCCACGCCGTCCCCTCTGCCTGAGTGCAGAGCTGGCCCTGCCGGCCCTTCCCACACGGGTGGCTTGTGGCCCACCCTGAACGGGGCCAGCCCGGCGGCCATGTCCTCAGCGCCTGGCCACATAAAGGGCTGAAGGAGAGACTCGGGCAAACAGGCTGGCCACGTGGATGCGGCCCAGACACCTGCAGCAAAGTCCGATAACTCTCCAAATAAGTGCCCCCCATGTTAAAACTCAGGGTCACTGACTAGGGTCCGAGGGCTGGAGCACGACATGGTCACCTTCCCCCCTGTGGTGCTGGGGGTTGACTTTGGTGAAACTGAGGATTCGTGATGGTCTGAGAGGCCGTGGTGACGTGCCTGGACCCCGGATGGCCGCCTGGCCGCCTTGTGGCCCCTCTCGGCCTGAGCGCCAGGTGGGTGGCAGGCTCAGCACCCCGTGTGCACTTTTCACCGTCATCACAGCAGCCCTGGGAGTCAGCCATTCTCCCTGGCCTTCACACGGATGGGGAAACTGAGGCTGGGAGAGGCGGGGTGGCTTGCGCAGGGTCAGGTGGCCGGTCGGACACGAGGCCGGTGCAGACCCACGTCCCGGGCTCTGGGTGGCCACGGCACCGCCTCCGGGGCGTTGGTCAGGGTGGGCTCCCTCGGAGGTCTCGCGGCTGCTGGGGTGGGGCTCTCCCCTCGCCCCTGGGGAGCCGGCCGGGAGCGCAGCCGGGTGCTGGCCTCCGCCTGCTCCTCTGCAGGGCCCATGTGGGAACAATGTGGCCTCTATCCCCAGCAGCCTGTCCGCCTGGACTCCCTGAGCAGCCCGGCTGGGCCGGCCGCCCCAACATGGCGCCGGGGCCCTGCTGCCTGGCCACGGGGAGGGCTGGCGCCTGGCCGGGCCTGGGCCGGGCCGGACTCCCGGCGTCCTCCTCGGCCGGCCGCTGAGTGGCCGGAGGCTCCTGCCTCCTCCTGCCGCTCCCCCTCGGCTAGCCCGCCCCCCGCGTGGTGGTGGGTTTGGGGGTCTGGCTACCCGCCTCTGCCACGTCTGCCATCCTGCCGGCACCCATGAGCATCTTTCAAAAATTCCCGGTGGGCGGGGCCGAGCCGCAGCGGCCGCCTCTGGCCCCCCCTCCCCGGGCAGCCAGTGCCAGATGAGAGCCGGAGACAAAAGTAGCATTTTCCTCGTCCTCCTGGGCTGGCAGCCGGGCCTCCCCCAGCGCCACTTGGCTCCTGGCAGCCCTGCCTCTGGGTGCCGGGGTGGCCGAGGCCCAGGCCATGCCAGCCAGGACCGAGGGACTGATGGACCACGGTGGCCAGAGACCAGCACGCCCGAGGGCCTGTCGGACGGAGGCTGGCACCTGGGGACGGCCTGCTGGCCAGCAGGACCTCCCTCTGCCGCCTGCCGCTGCGACCGGCTGGGCAAGGGGACACCAGTTCACCTCGTCGCTTTTGAGACAGCGCCTCGCCCTCCTGCGCCTTCGGTAAGTCACCTTTTCCCTTCTCTGTTGCTGGAGACGAGCCGAGGGCTCTGCCATCTTGTGCTGCTGCCTGTTACGTCCCCTTCCCCTAATTGGTTATCCGAAATTCAAAATTCTATTTCAGACGCCCCCCCCCCGCCCCCCACCCCGCAATATCGTCAGTGAAGTCAGCCCTTCTGAAAACTGCAGGGAAAATGCAGAAGCCGAGCCTATTTATTTTTAAGATCCAAAGCTACAGGCTTTAGACATTACAATAAAAATGAATGTTTGTTATTTCACAGTAGCTACGTGTTCAATTATTTGAACGGACGTTTCAGGAGGTATTAATAGGCATGGCCTATGCTTTCATGTCCGTCGTGTCCGTTTGTCGTGGGGGCCTCATTATTATTATTATTACTACTATTATTTTAATTTTTGGCAGCGCCAGAGTGGCAAAGGGAAAAACACCAGAAGCGTCTTAACTCCTCGGCAGGCAGGCCAGCCTGGCACACGGAGGGTGGACTCTGTCGAGAAACACAGGCCCTTTTATTTTGTCCAGCATCTTTAATGCTGCTACGTCCACAGTTTAGGGATTCAGTTCTTTTTCCCTTCCGTTTTATTTTATTTTTTGGAGGAAAAAAAAAAAGAAAAAAAAAAAGCTGTTTTTGACTCTCAGCTCAGTATGGGAACAAAATCTGTTCGGTTGTTTTGGGCTTTGTTTTTTAAGCCCTGATTTAAGTGCTGACCGTGCCGTGCCGGCTCATAACCGCCCTGCCCACAGATGGCGCGCGGGGCGCAAGTGGGCACGGCCACCGGACAGACCCTGGGGGGCCCCGAGGGGGCCTGGCGCCTGCCTGAGCCCCGATCTCATCCTGGTTCCCATCTGCAGAGCTGTGGGCCGAGACAGCTGACCGTCCAGGGCCAGAACCATGGCCGTTGCGGGTAGCAGTCCCTCGGAGACATTTGTCTCCAGGCCAGGCTGCCCGCCAGCGTCTGGGCAGCTGGGCTCCCAGGCTGCCCGTTTCTCTGTTGATCTCTGACCCTTCAGAACTGCCGAGCCCTGTCACTTAAAAGGTGGGCTTCACGGAGTTCAGCTCCCAGCTCGCATCCACCCTCTGGCAGGCTGACAAAAGAGTGGCCCACAGATGTGGCCTGGCTTCCCCACATTTCAGGGTAGCTGGGGTCTTGATTTATGGAAAACGGAAAATCAGGCTCAGAAAGTTCTATATTGCAACTAAGAGGAAAATTCCCGTATAAATTCACCTTTGTTTTCCCAATTCAGAGGCGTGTGGGCCCTGTTTGTGCGGGCCTGGGCAGCCGGCCGGGACAGACACCACCAAATATTAAAAACCGAGCTCAGCCCACACGAGGAAGGTCCGTGGCCGCTTTTGCTCTGAGATTAGGCAGCAGTGGAGGACTTGGGGCTGCAGAGACGGGCGTATACAGCGGAGATAATTAAAACATCTCTGTGATCGTGACAGCCACGTTCTGCTGCTGCGAGCCACAGGGTCTTTCCACCCAAATATTTAACAAGCACCAAATAAAACACTGGTGACAAAATAAAAAGAATAGGAAAAAAAAAAACCAGAGTGTAATAAATTTTAACAGCAAAAGAGCCAAGAGTATAGACAGATAGGCATGGGGGGCTGACTAATCAATTTTTAAAGAATTTATGTTTTTAATAGCTGTTCACGACTCATCTTATTTTATATTTTTGGCATAATTAATGTAGGTGAAATAGGCTTTTAATCCTAAATCCTGGAGTGATAGTCACATTTCCTGAGCATTAATTTACTTTTTTGGACAAGGTAGGAGCGAGTAGCATGAAATCAATTAATTTCCATAAATGAGCATTTTCATTCTAAATTAGTATTTTCCACTGAGATTATGTTCATCTAATTATTTTAATGTATACGGAGAACACATTTTCCACTGTATACCCTATGTAGATGGATGGTTATGTGTGATCAATTAGCATCTGAATTTTTTAACTTGGGTAAGAAATAACACTGTACCTCTTCCCCAAATCAGTAAAATTCCATAGAATCTTTTTTTTTTTTTTTTTTTTTAAATCAGGCAAAATATCAGCATTCTCCATGGCACCCAGTACTTCTCAGCAGGATTTTTTTTTTTTTTTTTTTTAAGAAAGTACCACGCATTGCAGTTTTCACATCATCGCCTCTATATAAATTCCACTATAGGCTGAAATTATACATTCTCGCAGCACAGATGGGCTGGTCTGTCATTACGGCTGCTGTGTCCTTGTTGGAACACACAGCATATTTCAATTGTGGAGTCGACAATTTCGAAGAACTGAGGTCAAAATAAACAAGTTGCATTTGTGTGTAGAAACGGTCTTATTAAATGATCTTCTCATTCCCGAAAGGTCTGATAGAGGCCCAGCCATCACCGTCATTACATTTTAATTTAAATTTTGGTCTCTCCCATCGTTTTTTTAAGACTCCAAATGCCCTCGGTCAAAGGACCTTAAGTGTTTTAATTCATTGCCAATTTTTATCTTGTTTTCCGGCACCAACAACATAACAGATTTAAATCCAAAATTCTGGGGTTTGGGACATTCGATTTTAATATCTTCATAATCTCTGTAGGACCCACGTTAAACCCCTACGTGTTTTGTACGTATAGACTTACATAAAATTATTTTGAGACATTTATGAAAAATCAACCGATAACTATTTTACGTGGCCTAAAGATACATTTAAATCCAAACTAAAAAAAAAAAAAAAAATTCAACAGGTAAGCTACAGAGAGCAGCCATAAACTTAAAAAAAATTATCTTGCAAAGATAAAGCGCACGATTTATTGGTCCCTGTCACAAGGGAGGCAGAGCACTTTTCCAGCGACAGTGAGTCGCAGACGATGGTCACTTTGTTTTGTGAATTCGCGCACATCGTGATGTAATCAGTTCTGAGGATTCTCTTCTCCCCCCTCCTTAGCTTCAAGTGTTCGCTTCTGCATTTCTGAATTCTGGATTCCGGCTCTGCCTTCCTGGCTGTGGGGGCAGCCGCCGCCCGTGTTTGTGGAGCTGAGTGACAGACAGGAGGGCGCGTCCTCCACTGTGCCCAGCAGCTCTTGCCGCCCCCCTCCCCCACAGCGGCCACCACGGGTCTTTGGCTGGGGCTTTGAGGATGGTGCCTGTTGGTGGAGATGCTGGGGAATCAGGGAAAGTGAGAAGTTGATGAAATGGGCCGCGTTTGGGAGCTGACTCCCCCAGCGGCTCTGCTCTCGGGTTTTGTAACCGTTTCAGCCTCTCCGATTTTGGTCCTTTAGCCTGTTGACTCTGGTCTTGGCATCTGGACTGAATTTACCGTCGGTGCCGTGAATATGGCCTTGGTCTGGGGGGCTGTCAAAGGTTAGGCCAGATGAAGCAGCCCAGCCCCTTCGAGTCAGTCTCAGAGCGACGGCGGTCACGGCAGTGATGGTGGGGAGGGCAGTAGCCGGGGGGCCGTGACCACGACAGGCTCCTTTCCCGTTTGGAGGAGCGGAGAGGACACGGAGGCCGGCTTCAGATGGAGTCGTGCCTGTTTGCTGACCGTGTCGCTCACCTCTCTGAGCCTGTTTCCTCCTCTGGACAGTGGGGACAGTAAGTGGCCCTGCCTCGTGGCAACACAGGCCATGGAGCGCACCCCACGGACGCCTGGAAGGCGGGCCGCGCTCCGCCAGGTGAGGCGCTGAGCCCCGAGGCCGAGCGCGTTCTCGCCAGCTCCTGAGGGTTGGGATGGGACTCGAACCGGGGCCTGCCGTCTTCCCACGTTCGTTCTGCGTGCACTGAGTGAGGACAGGCGTGACCACGTGGCGGCCGGGCAGCTGCCGCGCCCGTGCCCCGTGCCCCGTGGCGTGTGCGTGTAACTCGTGCACGCAGACGCACAGGTGTTGGGTGTCCCCCTGCTGTGGCGGTGGTTTCCAGAGGTGGCTCGGTGTTTGGAGGCCACGGATCTGACTGGGGGTGTCCCCCTGCATCGTTCCCCCGTGGGCCCCGCAGCCCGTGGCCACGCCTGGGCCGGGTGCTCCGCTGCCCCCCGAGATGGGTCGTTGTCCCCGGCCAAGGGCCACCAACGCAGACAGTGGGTAGACAGGCCGCCCAGGTGCCAGGCTGCTGTAGGGGAAGGAAGGCCCCTTGCCCGGCGGCTGCACTCTGAGCTTGGCCGGGCAGGGCGCTGCCTCCTCAGGGGACGGGCGGTTGCGGGCGCCGGCCATTTGCAGACTGGGAGGAGTGGAGTGTGCCTGCAGGCCTGGGACAGGAAATGGCGGCGCAGGCAGGGAGCGGCCGGAAGGCCGTGGGGTGGGCCGGCCAGCGTGCCGGGCCCTCCCCGAGCAGCGGCCCGCGGGGCTGGCCTTCCTGCGGGTCTGCGTGTGCGCGTGTGCGCGCGTGTGCACGTGTGCACCCACGCTCACCTGCGTGCCGGGGCTCGGGCCGCCGGGAGGGTTGGCAGGCCCCGTTTCCCGTCTGGAGCACGGCGGGGGCGGGGGGCTGAGCAGCCGGCGCGAATGCCCCGCGTGCCTCTGGACAAAGGGCCGGATGACAGTGACCCTCGCCACAAGGCCTCGGTTCTCGAACTGAAACGGGGGCGACAGCAGCGGTCAGACGCGGGAAGCGACAGCCTGTCTGGAAGGCCGGTGGGTGGTTGGCTTTTTCCCCACTGTGTCCTCCTAGGAAGAGACCAGAGGCCTGGGCTCTCAGGGGCGCTGCCCGCCCTTCCCAGCCTCAGTTCCCCATGCGGAAAGGGAGGGGTCAGTCTTCCCACAGGTTTCCTGTGGAGTTAAATGGATGACGTCCCTTGATGGGACAGTTTGGGGTGGGCCCTGGGACTCCGGCCTCTGGGTACGGGGTCTGGATGGGGGGTGGGGGCTGGCTGCTGCAGCCTGTGGGACCTCTGGCCCAGTTTCCCGGGAGCCCAGCCCGACCGCAGGATTCCTGCCGCGGGTGTGCCCGCACTTCCGGCCGGGCGTGGGCGGAGGGCTCCTGGAGTTCCCGCCCTTCCCGCCCTTCCCACCCTCCGGAG